ATGGATTTATTCGCTGTTTATCTCCCCCTCTGTGTTGGTGACATGATCAATAATTGCCCATAAATATTGGTTGTTTATAAGAAGGACCATTTAGAGGATGAAAGGGGGCCTCTGGTTACTTTGATTACTTCACACAGGCCTGGGCCACAATTGCTGGTGTTCAGGATGGCTTTTGGGGGTGATGGGAGACTCACAGCAAGGGACAACTGGGGCTGGGCAGGGTTGCACACCCCCTGGTTCAGGGCAGGACCCATGGCAGTGCTCTGACTCACGTGCATGTATGCCTACATGTGTGCCTGTGTGTCTGTTAATATGCCAGTCACTTCCAGACTCTGAGTGTCTGTTTCTTTTTCATTCTGCTTGTCTCTCTACCACAGTCTTGTCTCTTTCTTCTGGAGTCCGTCTCCCTCAGGCCTGTCACTATCTCTGTAGAGTTTCTATCTTCCACACTCATGCACACAGAATTCACCCCCTGCAATGAATCCTTGCTCAAGCAGCATTGCTGGTAGAGACAAGTGGAGCGGAAAGAAGCCTGAAGAGGAAGAACTGATAGAACCCCTCTGCCCCTAGTGACCACACCCTGTCTGCAGAATTTCCCAGGATCATGAGAAAAATAGCTGGACTTGAATTTCCAGAAGAGACTAGTCAGGTTCTAGAGTCTGAGCATGTCTTCTGGGCAGACTTCTACTTCAGAGAAAAATGTTAGGAATGAGGTGAAAAAAAAAAAAAAAAGTCATTTAGACGGAGGGAGCAGCTCCTAGCTTTTTACCTCCCAGTTTCCTTTCCCAAATGGTAACCCACTTCCTTCCTTCCAACAACATTAACTGCACACCTACTGTGTGCCTTGGTGCTAGCATCTGGCCGCGGATGAAGAAGGCCTTTCAGAGCCACTCCCTGGAGGGGAAGCTGGCCTGAAAATCAGGGCTGACTGTGAAGGCTGACAAGGTGCCTTCACGGAGAGATTCACAGAATGTCGGGGAAGGGTCAGGAGCCAGGATTTAAGCAGGGAAAATAGCCACTTATTTCTCCACCAGGGTGCACTGCTCCACGCTCTCATCCTGGAGAGACGGCATCTCTTTCTCTATCCATCGTGGCTCTGGAACAGGTCATGGTTGAGATGAAAGGCCCTGTGTACAGAAGGCCGCAGGCAGCAGGAAGGCTGACATCCCAGCTCCTGTAAGGCCTTTAAGAAATGTCACAGACCAGCAGGCAGAAAGATGCTGTGATGGCATTTTGGGTCTGCAGAAAGAACAGACATCCGTATAGGAATCGTGCCCTGGAGGTGCACTGGTGAGAGGCAGCAGAGTGAATGGGGCCTACCAACAGGGAACAGACAAGTGGACCCTGCCAGGCTGGCGAACCCCTTCCAGACAGGTGGCCTCACTGCCCAACACCCCTTCCAGGATAGGTAGATAGTGTCACCTTCTTTCCACAAAGGAAAGAAATCAAAGCCTGGAGAGATGTGTGGAAAAACACAACTAGTAAGTGGCAAACCCAGGTCTGTCTGATCCAAAAATTCGCCCTCTTTTCCCAATATCACAGACTTTCACTGCCTGATTCTTTTAAGACTGAGATCACATGCACTGCCCCAGCTGCTCTGCCCCTGTATTTGCATCTGCTGGCAGGACACATCTACCACAGGAGGGATGCACCATAGAGGTTGAGGATGGGACCTCAGTAACCCCAGACTTATTGCATCTAGCTTAGCATCTCCAGGGAGAAGAGAGCCTCTCTCTCCCCAGTTTCCCATACATCAATCGCAGGGCAAAGTCTGGTTGGCCTTGCTTGGGTTACATACTCACTCCTGAACCAATCACAGGGAAATTGTGAAGCTCTGATTGGCCAGACGCTTATGACAGGGCGGGCTGCTATAATGGATGTGCTCCCATCCAGGACCACAGGTAGGTGTTGAACCTTGACTCAGAGGGTCAGGGAAGGCTTCCCTGAAGTGATTTCTCCACTGAGACCTGAAAGATGAGTAGGAGTATTCCAGACAAAGAAATAGGAGAACGGTGTTCAGACAGAGGGATTCGGGAAGTGCAAAGGCCTGGGGCTGCTCCAGAACTTGTCTTGCTCACAGCCATATTTCCCCGTCTTCCCAGGGATGCTCAGAGAATGCTTTAGAAATGAGCCCTACAACTGACTGTGTGGCCTTAGACAAGTGACTTGCCCTTTCTGAACTTCAACTTCCTTCTCTATCTGGTGGTTTAATCATTCTAACCTTCCAGGACGATGCAAGAATTCAATTCATTCAGTTTCCAAATATTCATCCAGCACTTCCTCAACGCCCCGCAGCCTAGGCCTGCCATTGAAAACAGAAGCTTGGGGCGTACACGCACGGCTGACCTGCAGCCAGAAATGAGAAGGGAGCCGTGGGGAAGGGCAGGACAGAGGGAGACGTCCAAGGACAGTGAGGATGGACAACAGCAGGAATGGGGTGGCTTGCAGTGATTCATGCCTTCACCAACCCCACCTTGTCCCCAGCCCTGCCCCTTCGCCTTCCACTGCCACTTGCACACACACCACCCCGAAGCCGACTTAGCCATGCTAGGCTGGCTAGGTAAGCATCCAGGGCAATAGAACTTTTCTCCTCATTCCTTTGCTGGGCAACTTTGTAACCTGAATAACAGGTTGGGACAATCTCCAACAGGAAGAAGGAGAAAACACACTCTTTTGGGTTTGGGTGGCTACAGAGGGATTCTTGCTCCACCCCGCGTACCTGTTCCTGTACCTATGTACCTGCTCTTTCTCCCTCCCCACCCCAGCAGGCCAGTCCTGGGCCCCAGCTCCAGAGCTCTCACGGGCTGCCAGGGTGAGCAGGCTAGAAACTCAGGACACCAGGTAGCCCTGCAGGTGCTGGGTGGGCAACTCAACCCAGAGGGAGAGCAGGCTCGGGAGCTCTCACAGCCCAACAGGGACTGGCCCCTGGCCCCTGCCCCTCTCCACCCCACTGCCCTGAAGCCAGATTTCCTGCTCAGCATGGACAAGACAGCAAGAGGCTAGCCCTCTGCCCAGGTGTGTGTCCCCTACCCTCTGTCTCTGTCCCTATCTCTCTTGTCTGTCTCTGATTGTTTCTCTCTGAATCTGTATGTGCATATTAAAAGTACTTGTTCTGTCTCCCTCTTCTCATTTTCTCTCTCTCTCTCTCTCTCTCTTCCCCACTCCCCCTTCTCTCCCTCTCCCCCTTCACCCCTGTCCCGGACTGGAATGTCTCTGCACACCCTCTGTGAATATTCATGTCTGTCTGTCCATCGAACCCCATCTGTCTGACCCTGTCCTTGTCCTTCCATCCTGTCCAGCCACCGACTCTCCTGGCTCCTCTAACATGGGGTTCCTCCCAAATGTCTTTTGAGTCTCATCCAGGAACCTAGGTTCCTGGACTGTAGGTCACATCCGAAGCACAGTCATGATCATAATATATTTTTTATCTGGAAAAAAAAAAAAAGCTGGTGGTCTGAATTTCAGGAAGTTAAAGTTCCACAATTTGTCTGTAGGTAGAGCCAAGTGACAGCCCGGTTTTCTAACCTGGAAGGCCCTAGAGAAGTAGGATCAGGGCGGTGGGAGGACTGTTACAATTCACAAGAGGAGGTGTGGTTTTGTAGTTGCTGCTGTTGTTATTGTTGCTTAAACATTAATGACTGGTCCAGACAGAGCACCTCTCAGTGTACATACGGGAGGGCCAAGGAGGCTAACAGACTTGCCCAAGGTTAAAGAGGGTGTTGGGGGCTGTGCCAGGCGTGAGCCCAGTCTCCTGTCTCAGGTCTCAGCCTTTGGCCGTTGAACTTTGGAGACCATGTCTGTTGAGATAGATTTTTAGGATAAAGATTCTGGGGTAGGAGGGGCAGGAAGAGTGTGGGAGAGGTCATCACAGTCAGAGAAGGTTACCTGCTGCCTTGGAGCTGGTGTGGGAAGTCTGGGACCAAAGACCTAATGTCCTCTAAGTCTCCACAGACCTCCTGGGGGTTTCAAAGCTGCAAATTACTGGTAACTGCTCAGCACCTAGAGGGTGACACAGGGGGAGGTGGAGAGAAGGATGACCCTGCTCTGCTCAGAACTGAATAAGGGAGGAAACATTGGTTTCAACCCTCCTCTGAGATAAAAATTCTCGGCAGTGAGACCCCGGTAGGGTGGAGGAAGGGGGTGTCAGGGAGTGACAGAAGCTGGAAACCTGCATCCACATTCTGGCTGTCACCCTTGCAAGCTGAATAACCCTGGGCTTAGCCATGGTGAGTCTTGCTTACTCATTCCTAACATGGGGGTTGTGAGGATTAAAGAGATAATGCATAGATGGCACCTGGCACAAAGTCACCTGTAATATGTGAGTTGTGATTACTGTATATTTTGGTACAATAAACAAAGATCGCTTGGGCTTCTGCTCCCTGATGGTTTCACTGCAGCTAGCTAGCTCAACCTCGCTGGCTGGCTGGTAGGAAGGAAGGAAGGGAAGGAGGGCCAAACAGATGGATGAAAGGATAGATGGACAGGTAGATAGAGGATAGGTAGATGGATGGAAAAATGAATGGATAGAGGATGGATGGATGGATGAATGGATGGATGAATGGATGGATGGATGGATGGATGGATGGATGGATGGATGGATAAATCAACTGATGGATTGTCGGATGGATGGGTGAACAGATGGATGAACAAATCGATAGATGGATAAGTGAATAAATCAAATATTCCAAAAGACAGTGGCTTACCAGACTACACCTTCCTCTATTTTCTGCACTTCAAAAAAACATGGCGAATTGAATATAAAATTACAGGGACAAGAGTGAAGGAGAGGTGGAGGCAGACAGAAAAAGAGGAAAGTTGCCCTCTTGTTCATATGGCAGGTGGTGAGGAACCCAACTGAAAGAATTATGATCTCCCCAGGTAGAGGTCCCTGTCCCTCATCTTCAGACCTGGTCACTTGCAGACCTGATGCCAGTTGCCAACTGGATTTTCTTCTCTCCATAGGTGGAAGCTGACCCCAAGCCACCCTTCACCTGGACAGGATGAGAGTGTCAGGTAGGCTCTGAAATTGGTTTTGGAGGCATTTTTCTGTCAGCTGTGTCCACCCATTCTGGGCTCACAGTGATTTGGCTGTATCTGTTCTCAAATGGTCAGGCTCAAATTCCAGGAGGAAAGCAATCCAGGGGAGCCTGGAGGAGTAGAAGAGGTAACTTCCTGTCTCTAGGCTGAAGGGCAGGAGGAACTTCTGCACAGAGGCCCCACCTGGCTGGGGTCATTGAGAGTGCCCATGTTGGAAACCCTTGGCCTGGTTGGAAATTAGAGACAAAAATATTTACCTCGAGGAGGGCTATTCTAGAATTTTTACACCATAGGGCTGGGCACAAGGGAGGCAAAGGCCTTCTAGTCCACACTTTCATACTGTAACCCCTTCTGTACAGAGAGGGAAACTGAGGCAGCAAACAGGAAATGCACCTGCCTCATTTACATTCCAGAACAGCTGTAAGGAGTCAGGAGCACAGAGTTTTGAAGTCAGCTTACTTCTCTGGGTTTAAACCCCACTTTTGACACTTACCAGCCAAGTGACAGTGGGGAAGTGACCGCCTCTCAGTTTCCTCGTAAGTAAAATGGGAAAAATCAATAGTATCCAGCACACAGGGTTACTCAGAGAATGAACTGAGATAATGTATTCAAAAGTTGCTCACATGGTGCCTGGCACAAAAGTGAGTTCTGTGTGAACATGAGCTGATACCCAAGAGGAATTCTGGGTGCCTGGAGCCATGCTGTGCCATTGAAGACCACGTACCGACAGACCTGCATCCCACCCCACAGGACCCAGCGGGCCTCCTCCCCAGCCTGTGTAGTCAGAGACTAGTTCAAGGCTCTAGAGCTGAATTCAGGGCTGAGGAGCAGGGGAGATGCCGAGAGGAAGGTCAGAGGGAGGGGGGCCACAGCTGGGCCTGCGCCTCGAGGGTCACAGCAGAATGGGTGGGCCTGATTCAGAAGGTAGCAGCGATGTGAAATGGAGCCTGCTTTCTGGTCCCTGTAAAGAAAGGGAGCTGCAGGTGGCTCATCCCCATGTGTGGCATTGTTCCCCAATCACATAGGGGAATCAGAAAGCAATCTGGCCGTGAGGCAGGGATCAGGGAGCTGTGGCTTGTCTGGAAGCTGCACAGCAAGTCCTGTGTGCAGTTATTTGTGGAGGCCTTGAGGGAGAATTGATGGAAACTGTGGGGGGCAGCCCCAACCCCAAGCCACCTGGAGCCTGCCTACTCTTGACAACTACAGTGTCCCTGCCAATAAGCTCAGGGGCAAGGGTGTTACCATGTCTGCTCTGTGCCTGAGGGACTCCAGCTCAGAGAGGCTGAGCTCCTGCTCAGAGTCACACAGCACTGCTGGCTGCCGTGAGCACTGGTGACAGCCTTCTTTACTCCTGTTCCAGAGCTCCCCTCCCAGAGTCCAGCCCTCCCACTGCAGTTCTCAGGCCTTCCCTTAAGGGGCTATAGAAAGGTCCAGAATGCTGGCCTCATTGCTAGAGATTCTTTCTCTCTCTGGAGGGCTAAGTGGAGCCCAGGCAGGTACATTTTTAACTTTTTCTCCCAGGGGACCCACTTGGGTAAATGTTGCCACATGACCTGGCAGCACAATCTCACCATCTGGCCACTGGACAAATTCACACATGGTCTTACCACATGGTCCCATGGTCTGGTCCCCACTGTGGATGTGGCCTGAGCCTATAGCATGGGGTCTGTGCAGTTCGGGAAGAACTCACACGTGGTCTTGCGATGTGGTCTTGGCTCTGTGGTCTCCTGGCAGCATCCCCTTGCTCGGCAGGTGTGCTTCGCCTCCTGGCCCTCATCTTTGCCATAATCACGACATGGATCTTTGTTCGAAGTTACATGAGCTTCAGCACGAAAACCATCCGTCTGCCACGCTGGTGGGGTGAGTGGGGCTCAATGCTGGGGGCAGGAACTGCAGACCATGCCTGGAGGATGAAGACATATTCTTCCCTCCATCCCTAGGTGACCCTGGAGACATGACAAGCTGTGCCACCTTTGGGACCCCAGCCATTGCAGGGAGAGGGGGCACCCCCAGGCTGCCAGGAAGGGTGGAGTCCATGGGGAACAGAGGTGCATTGCAAGGCCCTGGGCAACACATGTGCCCACATCAAGGACCACTTAGAAAAGGTGACCCCAAGAAGGAAGGAAAGAAAGGAAGAAGAACAGAGGGAGGAAGAACAGAAGGAAGGGAGGCGGGAGGAAGGGAAGAAAGAAAATCATGTATTGAGTGTCTTCACCTGCACCTGCTACTCCCTCTTCCTGTATCTCTTCATGCAGATCCCCCCCCACCTGCCACCCACCCTCCCGCCTGGTTCCTTCTCTGCCTTCCAGTCTCAGCTAAGGTTGCACCCCTTCCTCCTAGTTTAGCTTCTCTCATGTCAGGCTTTTTCCATCAGAACACCATCATTATCTGTCATTATGGTTTTTATGTTTCGTTGTTTGTTGCCTGTCTCCACACCCTAGAATGTGAGCTTCCTGAAGACAAGGATTTTATGTTGTGTGCATTCACCTCTCTAAGTGCCTGGCACAGAGCAGATGCCTAGTAAACATTTGATGAGTGAAAAAAAAAAAAAAACAGGTGGATGGATGGATGGATGGATGGATAAATGGGTGGGTGGATGGATGGGTAGAATGAGTAGATGTATGGATGGGTAGATGGAGAGATGGATGGACGGATGGATGGATGGATGGATAGATGGATGGATGAGTGAAGAATGACTGAGTGGGTGGGTGGATAGATAAATAGATGGTTGGATGGGTAGATGGAGGGATGAGTAGATGGACAGATGAATGGGCAAATGGGGAGATGGGTGAATGAATGGGTGGGTGGAGAATGGATGAGTGGGTGGGTGCATGTGTGAATGGCTAGATGGATAGATGGAAAGATAAGCAGATGGATGGGTTGGGGGAGAAGGGATGAGTGGGTAGATGGATGGGTGGATGGGTAGATGGAGGGAAGGGTGGATGGATGGACGAGTGGCTGGAGAAGGGATGAGTGAGTAGATGGATGGGTGGATGGCAACATAGGTTGTGGGTAGACAGGTGAATGAATGAATGGATATACAGGTGGAAGGATGCTGGATGCTAGCTGCTTTACATGCATAGTCTCATTTAACCTGCACAAATGTCCCACAGAGTGATCTATGGCATGGTTGTGGAATGGACTCAAGCACAATCCTTGATGTGGTTTCATGTGTGTTCTGAGAAAACAGAAGCTTGAGGAGACTTAAAAACTCACCCAAGTTCCTCTTGGAGATATTAGAACAAGAACAGGAACCCAGGTCTTCCAGATTCAAATCCTTTCTGATCAAAGGAAGAAGTGAAGGGAAGGGATTTATATCTCTGGATTCGTCCCGCTTGAAGACCAAGAACCACCTACACTGACATCTTCACAAACATCAGTGACCCAGGCCTCTCCCAGCTTCCTAAGGCAGCAAGTAAACCAGTCACTCCATCTTGAACATGACTCCACAGTGGAGTGTCTGTGATCCCTTACCTTGTGTGCTTCTTGTCAAGCATGTTCCACAGCCCATGTTGAGATGATTTATAAGTTTATATAGATGCTTGGTGGCCACCATGTCCCCACCACCTCCCCAGGATCGCTGTTTTTACAAACTAGACAGTGATGTGGCTGCATTAATGGCCTCAAAGGTGAGGGGCCCAGGTCAGTGTAGGAGGCTCAGGGGTGTCCTCTAGAGAAGAGAGCCCCAGCCCGAGGTGGGAAAGGGGTAGTAATTGAAAAGAGACCCAGTAATTATTTGTCTGTCAGTATCCAACTACTTGGGGTTTGACAAGTCAACACCTCCAACCAACCATCATCAAGTGACTGCTGGGTTTTAAACTCTGTGTTCAGCCCCAGAGACCCTGAATGAGGAACAGGTAGCCCTGCTCATGGTCTGAGTCAGAGAAACAGACTTGATTACAGCATGTAGAAAAGTGAAAGTGCATTAACATGATGCAGAGTCTCGAGAAATGTTTACAGTAGCAGGAAATGTAACCAGTGGGAAAGAAGGCCAGTAAGAACCATTTGTGTTTCAGCACTGAAGGGGGTAATTTTCATTTACTTCAGAGATTCCTAACGTGGGTGCACATACCCTCATTTTATTATTTAATGCACTGATATAGAAGCACATATATTACTATAGCACAAATTTGATTTTTGTTTTTACAAAATATATTGATATACAATTGGTTTCCAATTTATTTTACTTTATGCATTTAATAACACAGTCTGTTGGAGTATAAAGTGATAAGTGTCTCAAGGGAAGTGAGAATAACTTTATTCTGAGGGGAGTTCATGGCTTTTCCAAACCACTAAAAGGAATCATGGCACAGAAACCAGATTAAGAACCCCTGTGCCTGGAAAGTTAGACAGGGTTATTTCAGATGAGAGTGACCAACTCAGCTCTAACTGGCTTCAACAAAACATGTCTTGATGGTCCACTACGGGCATCTTGTGACTTCAGGTGTGGCTGAATCCAGGAGTCTCCTGTGAAGGTCCCAAAGCCGGTCTCTCTTCTTTCTACATCCCTGGGCTCTGCTTGTTGCTACTTGACCTCAACAGGTTAGGGCCTCATTCCATGGGCAGCTTTTTCTCTAAGGCAGGCATGATGGTTTCTCTCCTGATGCTCATCTTCTCGCCTGGCTGAAAAAGCACGTTCTCTCTCTCTCTCTCAACCTCTCTCTCTCTCTCTCTCTCTCTCTCTCTCCCCTCTCTCCCCCACACAGCTACATATCAACATAGGGAAGTAGGGAAGGGCTCTGTCTCCAAAGGAATGTAATACTATGATTGACCCAGCTTGGGTCTCATGCCACTCCTGGGGCCTTGGAGGCAAGGGGTAGGGACATTTCCAGATGGACAGCCCCTGAGAACCAAGTGGAAAGTGTGTAAGTGTTGGGGGGTTCCCCCATAAAAGGAGAGCTTCTTCCCCTAGCATTTCTGCTTCCTCTGGAGGTCCCGTCCTCCAGACATCACTGCTGGCATGGTGGGAGATACGATGTAGAACCAACAAAACAACTAGGACGTGGTATAAGATGTCACGAAGTGGCCAAGGGCCCTACAGTGAGTGCAGACAGTATGCAGTGCGGACAGTCAGGAAAGAGACACCCCAATACGGGCCAAACACCCACAGCAGCACAACTGTACCCTTCACTGGGACCCAGGGGCCAGGCACTGGGCTCGGCCCTCACAGAGTGATCTCACTGGGCCCCCTCCACAGCCCCTTGAGGGTGGCTGTCATCACATGTGCCATCTTCATGTGCCATCAAGGAAACTGAGGCCCAGGGAGGTTAAATGTGTCATGCAGTCATATACTAGGAACTAGGGCACAAATTCCAGTGGGTCTCAAACAGTCCAGCTTCTTTTGAACCAAGGGAGAGTCGTGTGTGTCTTGTACATGTGTATATGCACACACATGCGTATGTATGTCTGCATGTGTGTGTACACATGTCTGTATGTGCACACGTGTGTCTGTATATGTGTGCATGTCTGTGTCTATATGCATACATGAGTGTCACGTATATCTGCATGCATGTGTGTGCATGTGTATGTGTGTGTGCATGTGTGTACACATGTGTATCTGTGTATATGTGTGCTGTGTGTGTATGTATGTGTGTGAAGGGGTAACAGTGGCAAGGGACTTTTAGTTCATTTCAACAGTGCCAATTTCAAGCCCCTTCTTCCCACTCCCCAGCCCCTAGCCCCCAACCTCCCTCCTGCAGGGGGGTCCGAAGTGCTTTTCCTCTAACCAGATTCTGTCTTCTCTCCAGAACCACCATCCACCAAGGAGAACCGTGAGTATCTGTGCAGCTCCACACCTCCCCCAAACTCATCCACTCACCCCCTGCTCCCATTTGCCCTAGGGCAAGAAGGCCCAGGGCCCCTGCTACTAACCCTGCAGGTTCCCAAGAAACCTGGGCTTCCAGATTCTTCCCAGTCCTCTCCTTCCATGACCTAATGGTGCCTTCTAAAGTCCCTAAGCCCTGTGGTAGGGGTGGCCTCCTCTCAGCCATTCAGACTGTAGGGACACAGTTCAACTCTGCCCCTTCTTCAGTTCCCCTGCTGCAGTCTGGACCGCACCCTGTCCCTGCCCATCTCCTGCCCCCAACAACCCCACACAGCTGGGAGCCCAAGGGCCAGGGATGAACTCCTTAACCCTATTGCAGTGACCCCAGGCTTGGCTCAGGATTCCTGCTGCAAAGTGCCAGAGACCATGTCAGGCACTACAGGGGCCCCAGAGACAAACAGAAGGGGCGCTGATTGTCTGTTGGGGTGGAAATGTTAGACCTGCCAAGAGAAGTGGAGAAAGTGCTCTGGGTTCCAGGAGGGGCACCCCCTTCTAATGGGAGGATCAGGGAAGGCTTCTGGGAGGAGGTGTCCTCTCTGCAAAGGCCTAGAGGCAAGAATGCTCCAGTGGAGGCCTTGGCTAGAGTCAGGACAAGGAAGGGAGGGAGAGCTGTGATTATGGCAGTAGTAACATTGATTGAGTGCCTATTATGTGCCAGACACTGGATTCAGAACTTCACAGGCATCTTATGCAATCCTACATACAACCTTATGTTGGTGCTATAATGAGCCCCTTTTGTAGATAAGGAAACTAAGACACTGAGAAGTGAAATCTCTTGGCCAAGGTCACATAGCTATAAGTGGTGAGGCAGGAGTCAAACCCCCTCCACCATCTAGTCCCAAGCCCACCCCCTCAACCCCTCTTTGCAAGAGGCAATACCTCCAGGCCCTCTCCATTTCCTTCTCAACATGGTGGTGACTCTGAAGAGGGCTGTGGCTCCTAAAATAGGATTTTACCTGACTAAGAAGGACATGGGTGCCCCAGTACACTGCAAGGTTACAGAAGGCAAAGACAATATGAAGCAACACAAATCATTCACCCTACACCCTTAACCCTAGCTCCCTGAAGTCTCGTCAGTCATATTCTGAAGTGAACACAGAGTGTCACAGCATCTTGTTGCTATCAAATGCTTAGACATCACCTGCTGGGGGGATGGCAAATTCAAGCACACATGCTGCTTTCCACCCTGCCTGTTCCCATAGCAGACATCTCCAATCGATCCCAGCATTCTTTCCCTCCAAGCCCATAGGCAGACTTGAGAACTTTATCATTAAGCCTTTAACAGGAGGTCCACATTGACATTTAAGAGGAAACCTGTTTGACAACCCTGATCTAAACCAACTCCCTGATTTCACAGTTGGCAAAGATAAAGGGAGCAATTTCTGGCAAGCCACAAAGCAGATTAATGAAAGAGCAGCCTATTTCCTGAATGCACCCCTGCCCTAGTGCTCTTGGTAGCACACCAGCTCCATGCCCTGAGCAACAGCACAAGGGTTCCCAGGGGTCTCAGGGATTGAGGCAGCTGATGGGAGCGGCCTTCTATGCCAGAACCCAGAGAGCAAATCTCCTGCCTCCCAGAGGTTGAGGCCCCCTTGGCCTTATCTCCCTTCATCCAGCAGCATGACCGTGAAGGCTGGATGGTCAGAAAATCAATGCTGGAAAAGCCTGCTTAAGCCTGCCTGTTGACATCAGGTTTATCAGACTTAGCTGCAATTGATTAGGCTCTGGGCAAACTCCAGAAGTGGTCCCCAGGGCTGGGAATGATCTCCCTGCATAGGTGAGACTCTCTGGATGAGGGGTGAACGTGGCTGGAGGTGGGATCCCAAGGCTGTAGGAGACCAGGAGCCATGCCCTGGCTTCCCTCCCCAGCATCGCTCCTCAGCCAATCCCAAAGGTGGAGGCTGGGCACCTTTCATAGGGATCCTGCGAAGAAGGAGGAGAAGGGGAGTTGGTCCACCCCCAGTCCGGCCCTCTCTCCCCTAAGCCACAGGCTTGGATACCCACTCTCTCCTGAACAGCCCTTCACAGATGCCTCTGCCCCCTACCCACTCTCTGGGTGACAATGTCATGGTTTGAGTTCAGTCCCACCCATCAGGTGTGTGTGCTGAAACCAGGAGAGGGGAAACCCCAAACAAGCATTTCCTCTCAGATTCTCAGGGTTGCCTGCTCAGTGAAGGGAAACCAAGCCAGCAGGGTTCCCTGGTGTGGGCTGCATTTGCTCCTAGAAGGGGCACCTTTACCTGCAAGCCTGGCACAAGTGGGTTGTGCCCCTCCAGAGGGGTGCATTTTCCTGATTCACCTAAAAGCTCCTTATAGACCAGGGAAAGCCCTGGAAACCACATGGTCCCTTCCAGCCTCAGGTGCAGCCTGGCCCAAATGTTGTATGTATTATGCAATGAAGACTATCCAGTGCCTACTATGTGCCAGGCACAGGAGTTTTCAGGATGAGTCAATAAGATAATAAACACAAAGTCCTAGCCCCAGCGCCTTGCATGTAGCAAGGTCTTGGCGTCTGCAAGCTTCCTTAAGGAGCCTGCAGCTTTGCTCCAAAGCACACACTGGCAGACCTTGGCCAGACGCCTGGCACAGGGGCTGGGGAGGGAAAGGCTGCCCAACCCCCGATTTCCCTTAGCAGGTCAACATTCTCCAAATCCATGTTTACCCAATCCTCCCTAATGCTGCCTTCCAAACTGTCAGCTGGTGCTAAAAAGCACACATTAGGATGAATTAGAACATGCCAGGCTGCAAGGGCAGATGTCATCCCAGCTCTCAAAGAGCACATTGAGGGCTCAGCCGCTCAGCCACATCTCTAGGTACCACCAGCATCTCTCCTCGGGCATGGACCTCCCCAATTTACCCTGTGAAGGCTGCATGGAGAAGATGTAGGTCTTAGGAACAGCCAACATCACCAGAGGTGCCACTTAGTGAGTACCCAGTGGGCTCCCAACATCGTGTTGAGCTCCCAGTGGAAGAATTGGAACCCTCTGCCTGTTCTCTGTTGTATCCCAGCGTCAGGCACTTAGTAGATGCTCAGGAAATGAGTGATAAATGAATGAATGATGAGAAGAAGAATAGCCAGTGTGTACTGAGCATTAAACCACACTCATGTATTCCTCACAAGAACCCAGTGGGGAGGCACAACAGATATCCCATTTTGCAGATAAAGTGGGGTGCGAGGAGGTTGAGAACTTGCCCAAGGGAACCTGGCTAGAGAGAGGTGCTCCCACCCATCCCACCAGAGTCCCTGGGAGTTCTCAACAGGGGCCTCTGGGGACTCAGAAGGCTGCCGTGGCCCAAATGAGAGGTTCTCAGAAGAGTCCCTTCATCATGGTGACTCAGGTTTACTCTAGTTACGTTTACTGAGGGTGTCCTGCTAGGGCTGCAGCTGTGATGGAAAGCCCAAAAATTAATTCTGGGCTGGTCCTGTGTGCTTTGGTGGGGGCCGCGTTGGAGGCACCATGGAGCACAGAAGGGCGTATCTCCCAGACTTTGCTGTCAGCGAAGGCTCCCCCAGAAAGAGGCTCTGAGCTTCGTCCCAAGCTGCACCCTGGCCCTAGCCCTGGCCCTCCCCTCCCCAAGCACTTCCCAAGCTGCTGCCCACCAAAACTGGTCTCTTTCCTTCCCAGAGGTTGTAAAGTACAAGTGTGGCCTCATCAAGCCCTGCCCAGCCAACCACTTTGCATTTAAAATCTACAGCGGGGCAGCCAACGTCGTGGGCCCTTCTATGTGCTTTGAAGGCCACATGTAAGTACCTAAGGGGCAACTATGTTTCTTTTATTTTATTTCATTCATTCATTAAAAACTGCAGAGGCTGCAGGGGCTGGCCTGTGAGACCAGCCCACAGCTTCCCTTTCACTCTGGGTGTGTGAGGCACAAATACAATAATTGAAACAGTTCCCACATCCGCCAGCACCTTGCCTGGTGCTTCAGAGCATCTCTCATTCATTCCCCCGACATCCTGGGAGGTGGAGCTATTACTCCTGTTGTAAAGATGAGGACAGTGGGGTGCAGACAGGGTCACCTGCCCCGTGGCAGGGCCAGGATTTGACCTCAAGTCTAACAGCCAAGTTGCTGGGCTTCCCATGAAAGGAGATGCCTGCAGAGAAGGTTCAAGATCCTGACTCAGGCATCAAAGCCCGGATATAGCAGGCACCAGGGCTTCCACCCAAGTACAAGAGAAAGGCTGTTTACCCATCATCCAACTAAGACAGTAAAGGCCCTGGGATGGCAAGTGCATCCTACGAAAGAACTCAGGGACGGGTGTTTAAACCAGTATTCTGAACCTAACCACAGTCTGTTTAGGCAAAACAAGGAACTGATGGGTTCAAATACCTAAAAGACCAGGGGTGGTAGGCAAGCTTCAGGACCAGCTGGATCCAGGGATTCGAACAATGTCATCAGGGTTGTCTCTCATCCCATCTTCAGCTCTACCCTCCTCTGTCTAATAGCTTTGCTTTTTTTTTTCTACTTGCAAGGGATTCCTCCATGTGGTTAAAGAGAGAGACTGCCAACTGGTTTGACATATTAGCCCAGCTTAGCACCCTAATGGAAAAAGAGCCTTCCTGTCTAAATTATCCCTGCAAAAGTCCCAAGCCTGTGTTTCATTGACTGGCCTGGGTCACATGACCAAGCCTAGCCCAGTGTATTCGTCCGTTTTCAGGCTGCTGATAAAGGTATACCCGAGACTCAGTAATTTATACAGGAAAAAGAATTTAATGGACTTACAGTTCCATGTGGCAGGAGAAGCCCTACAATCATGGTGGAAGGCAAAGGGGGAGCAATGACATCTTACAAGGATGGCAGCAGGCAAGAGAAAGAGCTTGTGCTATTATGGTTTTCTATAAAACCATCAGATCTCGTGAGACTTACTCACTGTCACAAGAACAGCACGGGAAAGACCTGCCCCCATGATTCAGTCACCTCCCACTGGGTCCCTCCCACAACACGTGGGAGTTCAAGATGAGATTTGGGTGGGGACACAGCCAAACCGTATCAGCCAGTAACTGTAGCTGGGGATGTAAGATGCTCTGCTTGTCCAAGCCTGGGAGAGAGAGGTCAATCCCCGGAACCACCTGGCCTGTGCGTGGAGAAAGACAGTTCTCCCACCACACATCCGGAGACACGGGTGTGGATGCTGGGCCAGCAGGAACACAGCTGGGCCACGTGGGGACTCAGACACCCCAGGATGGTGGCAGCCTTCTGGGTTCTGCCTCCTACCAGCAGCCAGGCCTCACAGCCTACAGGTGGGCTGGCCCCGCCTCCAACACCTCAGAGGCCCAGGCAGGGACCTCCCCTCTTCTCTGAGCAGGTTGTTCTGGTCCAACATACCTTGAGAAACTCTTTAGAGAATCCAGCCTACCACTAGTTTTCAGGAGAAAACAGATGGCCCCAGTTATTCCATGTGTTTCCCAACACTTCTGCATTGCTTATGTGGGTCCTTGCAGAGCTCCCCAGCTGGGAGAGCAGAGTGTTCATTCCACGCTCGGGACCGACTGTCATATTTCTTCTTCATTGTCTTCAGGATCATGAGTCCTGTGAAAAACAACGTGGGCAGAGGCCTAAACATCGCCCTGGTGAATGGTGAGTTGCAGATCCATCCCCCAGACAGTTTCCACCCAGCACCAGGGAGGGTAGGGGGCAGCGGCATATTCATTCAACCAACATTGGCTCAGCTCCTACCTCATAGCAGGAACGCCCGTAGAGCTCAGGAGGGGAAGCGTGGCTGGCCTGGGGGAACAGAAGTTCTCAAAGACCCACAGAGCTGTAGAACCACAGAGCTAGCCAGGCCCCTGCAACATGCTCCTATCTCAGGAGGACACACTTCTCCTATGGAACATAGGTGAAACATGACCCCATCCTCAAAGCCAGTCTGCTTAAACCAACACACATGAGGATGTGGGGACAACCAATGACAGTGCAAGATCACGTGCTGAGTATACACCTTCATTCATTCATTCATTCATTCAACAAATACAGGCAGCAGCTACTGTGGGCCAGGCCCTGTACAGGACACTGGGGGTCAGCCAAGAACTAGAAAGGCCCTGGCTTCACAGCCTCCGTAGGTATCCGTGAAGCTCACAAACAATCTCAATGTGGTGAGCCTCTCTGGAGGGGCAGGAAGCACAGCTATGGGAGCTAGGATGCAGAGCAGCGGACAGACCCAGGGTGGTTCAGGGGCGGCTTCCAGCTGGAGGTGATAGCCAGCTGAGGTCTGAAGGATTGTGGGCACTGGCCAGGAGAAAATTGGGGGAGGCTCCTTCCAGGCAGGGGCAACACAGTGCAGGGAGAGGAGGGAAAGGGAAGGAGAGAGGTTTGCCGGGCAACATGGAGAGGCAGGGCTGGGGAGAGAAGCAAGGCCAGAGGATGAGGAGCTAGCAAGCCTGCTAAGAAGTGTGATTGGAAGCCGAGAGCAGTAGGGAGCCACGGAACGGCTTTGAGCAGGGTGGGAGGGGCCGGGCCTGCATTCCGGAAACCTCCCTCCAGCTTGGAGTTGTGGGGGCTGGAGGCAGGGAGACCACAAGGGAATCCATGGCCTTGATAACCCTGCATCTCCTGCAGGACACACACTTAAACAGGAGGCCAGAGGGCCACCAAGCCTGAAGTAGGGACACGTTTCAGGAGGGAGTGGACTTACAGGGTCAGGTAAGGACCCAGTGGTCTGGCCCCAGCCAAGACCTCCTCTCTGCCTCTGTTCTTAGAAAACAAGGCCCATTCCCTGGCTGTAAGGGCCACTTCTGGGACAAAGGTCAGGGCAGGATGGGGAAAGGGTGTAAGGGATGCTCAGGGAGGAACTTGTTGAGCTTGTGGGTGGCAGGACCACATGAGCACACTTAGGAAGGAACAGGGTAAGATGGGAGCCCCAGCCTTGCCAGCTTCAAGCCCCTGCAATTTACTCCAGAGAAAGCCTTTTCTCACTCTGCCAAGAAACCCTGCTGCGTCAGGGGAGAAGTCGGGGCCTGGAGCAGTAATGGGGCTGTTCCTGGATAGACGGGAGTCAGAAGACAGCCCTGGCCAACTTCCTAGGAGCCCAGGAAGGGCCAGGGCAGGGAGAGGCAGGAGGCTGAGTGGAGCCGTTCCTCTGCAGGTTTGAGGAGGGCCCAGGCCTGTTCCACTCCAGCCTCAGTGAAGTGGCTGCAGGGATGGTGGCTCCCTCCTGCAGGAAGGGTGTGCCCAGGCTGGTCTCAGAGCACTCTTGCGTGCACGCCAGACCCCAGAAGGCGGTAGGAGCCTCAGCTTACATCAACACTCCCATCCATCTGCCCTCACCCCACAGTGGGGGCGGGCAGGAAATGGCGCAGGCTGCAGCTGACCTGGCTGAAACCTGCTGACTTTCTCCCCTAAATGGGTCCCACCTGAGAAAAGCCTTTTGCATATTCTCCAATGAGATGGCCCCAGACTAGGCCTCTTTCCCTGCCTCTCACAAAGCCGAAAGGATGAAAATAACCATCGATGGCAATAAGAACTAGCATTTACTGGGCACTCACTGTGCTTTTTCATTTAACCCCATCACTGTGCTAGGCTGGAGCTATGCTCAACATCCCCATTTCCCAGGTGAGAAACCGAGGCTCAAAGAGGTTAAGTAGGCTGGGTGCAGTGGCTCATGCCTGTAATCCCAGCACTTTGAGAGGCTGAGGTGGGTGGATCACTTGAGCTCAGGAGTTCAAGACCAGTCTGAGTAATAGTGAACCACCCCCCACCACCACCAATCCGCCCCTTCTCTACAAAAAATTTAAAAATTGGCTGGGTGTGGTGGCACACACCTGTAGTCCCAGCTACTCAGGAGCCTGAGGTGGGAGGATTGCTTGAGCCTGGGAGGTGGAGGCTGCAGTCAGCCAAGCTCACACCACTGCACTCCAGCCTGGGCAACAGAGAGAGACCCTGTCAAAAAAAAAAAAAAAAAAAAAAAAGAGGTTAAGCAACTTGTCCAAGGTCACACAGCCTATAAAACCACCTACATTTGAACCTGGATCGAGTTAACTCCAGGTCTTAATTATTCACCTGAACGACCTCCCTAGACTAGAAATGTCTCAACCATGTATACAGCACCTACTGTATACGTGCATGCTGTGTATGCCACATGTGGGGAAGCCCAACAAATCATCCTCATCTATACGACCAAGAACAACACAAGGATTGCTAAAGATCGAGTAGTCTTTAACCTTCAGTGGCACAGAGATTCCTCAGGATCTTCAAGCTATGCTGGCCTCGGCCTCCACCCCCACCACTCTCCCATTGCAGAAACATTCACGAGCGCATGCGATCACAAAAGCAGCTCTATAGGTTCATTGACTCCTTCTAAGGGCCCCAGGTAAATCATTCCATGGACACTACGTGGCTCCTGGAGAATCCTGGAGGGGCTGCTAAGCGAGCCTGCTCGCGCCGCCTGGACTGTGCCTCTCCCTAGACCCGGTCCCCACCCTCCTCCGTAAGCCTTGGAGCTGCCATCCCCTCTGCAACACCTCCATCTAGTGGCACAGAGTGCAAACTGTAACGTTCCTCCCGAAGACCCGGTCCCCTGGAGGGTTTGGCCTTCGGATGCCTCCTCCCACAAAATCCACAAACGCAATCCGGGTTACTGGACCCTGGGAAACTGAGTACTGCTTAGCCCAATACAAATCCCTTTGCCTTCGAGAGGTGGAGGACTCCAGTTGTAGGTTTTCTATATAGGTGGAAATAATGATGACGACTATCATTTTGATTTTGATTTTGCAGCTAAAATTCATCTTGTATGACTACTATTAATATTTTAAATGTATCTCCTTTAGTTCCCACAACCCACTGTACAGATGCAAAAATTGAGGTCAAAATGCTAAGTCCTGAGTTAGAAAGTGGTAGGACAGAACACAGACTCAGACTGAGTAGACTCAGTTCGATTCCAGAGGCGCCCTTAGCCATTACATTCTTGAACCTCTCAGATGAGCCCAGCCATCCCTGGACACCTGCTTTAGTCCTGCATGCTCCTTATAGGACCTGATTTCATTATATTCTTGTTCTGTTTTTAGATCTTAGACTACAGATTAGCCATTTTCAGCAGAACAACAGGCAGAACGACACGCGTTACAGGGGATAATCGTTCTCCTCTTAACCTCTAGGAACCACAGGAGCTGTGCTGGGACAGAGGGCATTTGACATGTACTCTGGAGGTAGGTGCCTCTGCTGACACTGAAGTCACAGTGGGGGGGTGTGGTGCAGACGGCTGAGCCTCTTCGTGTGGCAAGGGACCTGGTGGCTCGAGGTACCTGGTGCTTCTTTCCACAGGAGGCACCCAGGAAGAGGTGCGACGGGAGGTTGAGGGTGTCCTGCTGGTTTTGAAACTCCTTCTGGCCATCTCAGTTGGGATGTCCCAGACTCAGATCCTGAGACAGGGATTCAATTGCAATGCTTTATTTAAGAAGTGAGCTCAGGAAACGTCAGTAGGGGAGTAGGGAGCAGACAGCGACAGGAAGGAAGCCTGTGAAGAATGTGTCACTGAGCCTTTAACCAAAGTTGGAACCCTGGAGCCAGTGTGGAATACATGCCCCAGAGATCTCCCAGAGAATCAAGGGGACTGAGGTGCCCATGCCTCTAATTCCTTGGCATGCAATTCTGGCCTGCCCTGGGGGCAAAGTGAACTCTGGAGGCCAGAGAAGACCTTAAGGCAAAGCAATGTCAATGTTGATGTCACTGAAGTGCTGTGGATGAGGCCGCGTGACCCATCGGCCACATCCGCTAAAGCTCTGCTAGGTAAAGGTATTTTATTTCAAGGTTACAGGGATCTCTTGGGGACCCAAGGACAGGGCTCCTTTCTGGACCTGAGGCTCCGAGCTCTACACATCTTTCGGCAGATGCTTGTCTTCTCTCTGCACCCACGTACTTTGCAGGTTTTTCTGTGTACCTGGCTGCCCCTTATAGGAAGTCACTGCCCTCCTTGCTCTTAGCATGGGCGGATGAGACAGGGTACTGACCTAGCTGTGCTGAAATCCCGGGCATCTAAGTCCCCACCAGCAGCCTCCTCGCCAACCAGCCACCTATGGGCAGGGGTGGAACCCTGACCCCACATTCTCAAAAGCTTTCAAAATGCAGCAGAATCAGTTCCAGGCCATCTGCCACCCGTGCCGCCCAGCTGCTAACCCAGCCTTGCTCCAACACAGGAGGCTCAATGAGGAGTGAGAAAGCAGCAGGCAGCAGAGACCTGCGCCCTGCAGGGACTGGTTTTCATCAGAGGGGGTGTCAGAGCCCAGGTCAATGCAATTTCCCTTCTGTATCTCTGAGATCCCAGGGCATCTCTGTGCTCGGCCATCCTGGGATGTACAGCACGTGTGACCACGGACCCGGGAAAGCCCATCACAGAGCAGAAGGGGCCAAGCTGCTGCCAAACAGCTGCGATTCCCCTCTCCTAAATTCCCCTGTCTTTGTCTCAACCTCTAGGGAAAGCCCACCTTGTCTACACCCACCTACACACATGAGCCCAGGAGGGGAGGAAGTTACCAGGCAGCAGAAGGCAGGGAGCCCTCTTAGCTTCGCAAACAAAGGAAGAGGCTGAAATCTGGGAGGTGGGGAATGCTGGGGATGTGATGTGCAGAACAACTCTCAGAGATGGGCAGCTGGGACCCTGTCCTGGGCCCAGGGCTTCGTAAGACCCCACCCGGCTCTCCTCCATCTCCGTCCCAACTCATGGGTGAGGAGTCTGCAGAGCTAGGGGTGTGCTGACCTGGAGTCTGCATCAGGGCCCACGCAGGTCTCTTACCAGGTGTGCCCCACCCCCAGGCTTCAGACACTCCCCCAGGATGGAGGGCTGACTAGGGGCTGGCTGTTGCTTGACGGGAGAGTAGTGTGGATGGAGCTTGGATGGGCACACTAAAGTGCCCACATGCAGTGTGCAAGGTCCCTCCCGGTACAGGATAGAGCTGAGGACAGGGGCAACAGGAGATGGGGACAGGCCAGGGGCTGAGGACCAGACATCCTTCCTGGAGTCCTACTGATGTTCAGCATGGCCTGGGGCCGGGTTTATGGAAAAGGTCCAGTCTCTGGAGTCAGAGACTTCCTGAGGCATGACCTGAAGCAAGTGGTGCCTCTTGAGCCTGTTTCTTCATCTGTAACAGAGACACAGCTATAGTTTCCACTCCATAAAACTGATGTGAGGATTAGATGATAACCTAAAATAATTGGTGGAAGGGTGTCCAGCCTGACTGGTGGAGGGGTCCAGGCAAGCTGGTTTAGTCTTCTCCCTTCCCTCCTCTTCCCCTTCCCTCCCCTCTTCCCTCATTCCATCCAGATGACTCAGAAGCAAGGAGATCATCTGTCAGAATCAAAAGCAAAAAAAGTTTAAAGATGAAACTAAGCTTTAAAATGCCTTATTATAAACTTGAATGTAGCCATGACTGATGGGGACCCAGAAACAGAGGCATTGTGAGCAAGTAGCCCTTCCCTTCGGGAAACAAAAGGGGATGAAGGCTTTTTAAGTGAGGTGATCATTAGCAGAAGGCATGCTTTATGTTTTCCAAATACCCACTGTCCATCCTGACAAGCACCAGACCATACATCTGCAACAACACAAACTAATGGTGCTTTAAGAGCTCCCTCCTTTTGTCATAAAAGTTCAAGGGCCATTTCTTTAGAAGAGTGACTGTGGTGGTTGACCGGAAACCTCTGTCACTGAGCTGGCTGGCAGCTGGCCTTAGTTCGGAGAACGGCTTCTTCCCCAAGGTCCTAGGGGTCTGCAGTGGAATACTAATAATCAAGGCCAGCTTTGTGGGCCTATGACCTGGGGACAGGGCAGTCACATGGGGCCCATGCTTGGAAGAATCTCACACTTGGCTTGATGCCTGCCATCGTGGTCTTGAAATACTGAATAATTTTTTATTAAAAGGCCCTGCATTTTCATTCTGCACTGGATCCTGCAAATTATGCAGCCAATCCTGCTAATAATTTTTGGTTCCATTAGAGTATGCTTACTGTATGCCCAAAGTTATTGTCACATTTGCACTTTATAAAGATGCTATGAGCAGGGCTATTACTCATCCTCATTTGACAGATATAGTCTCTGCTTTAACCACTAGGTTGCTTGTTGCCAAACTTGAGCCCCCTCAAGTTGCACCATATCTAGAATAACATCTGCATTATTAGTATTTTCCTTTAAATTGGATCACTTTTTTTTTTAACCTAAGTAAATATATATTAAAAGGAAACTATATTACTGCCTTAAGTAGAAAGCTATTATTACTTGTTATGCAGGAAAGGTGACCATAAAAATAATCACAATGGAGGGCCCTGGGACAGTGGCTCACACCTGTAATCCCAGCACTTTGGGAGGCTGAGACGGGCGGATCACCTGAGGTTGGGAGTTCGAGACAAACCTGACCAACATGGAGAAACTCTAATTCTACTAAAAACACATAATTCGCCGGGCATGGTGGCGCATACCTGTAATTCCAGCTACTCGGCAGCCTGAGGCAGGAGAATCACTTGAACCCGGGAGGCAGAGGTTGCGGTGAGCAGAGAGCACGCCTTTGCACTCCAGCCTGGGCAACAAGAGCGAAACTCTGTGTCCAAATAATAATAATAATGGTAATAATCACCATGGAAACAAATCAGCCTCTTCACAGTGAGCTGGATGCTGATGCCTCCCCCAGGTGCTAAGCCTAGAGCTGCTCTCTGTTAGAGAGCTTGGCAAGTTAGGAAGGCATTAAAGACACACGCAGAGACTTGCTCCCTGACACAGCAGGAAAGTTGTATTAACAGTAGACTCAAGTTGTCTCCCAGGGATCTCAGCTGTCTGAGGCCACGTGCTATACCATCTAAAGTCAGCACAGATAATCTGAGCATTGTCCGGTGTAGAATGGGGTCTGGGGTATGCAAAGGGCCCAGAGCACCTGAGAGATGATGACACTTGGTCCCCTGAGGGGTAGGCACATAAGGGCCCTTCTCCAGTGGTGCTCATCCTCAGCTGCAAATCAGAGTCACATGGGGAATTTCTAAACTCCAGTGTCCAGAAGCCACCCCACATCACCTGGATGAGTCCCCCTCACTCTGCTCACTCTGCCCTCCCCTAGGACAGGGGCTACACGGAGCTCCACCTGGGATGCTCCTCCTCCTGGCTTCTGAGCTCAGCCCAGTGTCCACCGGGCCTAGCTGGCTCCTGCATCATAGGGCAGTAGACAAGCATGAGAATGACCAGGGCTCATTTCCCCTAAATCACCTGCACCTTTTCCTTCCTCCCCCAGATGTTAAGCACCTAGTGAAATTCCTTAAAGAAATTCCAGGGGGTGCACTTGTGCTGGTGGCCTCCTACGACGACCCAGGGACCAAGTAAGTAGAAAACTCTACCTGCCAGGCCACCCAGTGATGCAAGCTGAATACCTTCAAACGCTGCACACCCTTTGCTGTTTCGCCAGCTCCATTTTCTGGCAACTTATCTTGAGGAAATTATCAGACAAGTATGCAAAGCGATGTTCTAGGAGGTTGATCACAGCCTTCATTACCACAGTGGAAAACTGGAAACCCTCTCCCTGTCCAATAGTAACAGCTGACCGGCCACAGAAACCATGACATACGGTGACATAGGATATGATATATGCACAAATGAAGATAGACTGCATCAAAAATGATGCTGCAGAAAGTATTTAAGGACATGGAAAATTGCCCACCCTCTAGTGCTAAGTGAGGGGCAAAAAACACTATATGGAAATATACCTCCCCACACCAAGGGGAGGAGGGGTGAGACTGTATTTCTTAGTTACTTCTTTGTGATCTTCCATATTTTCCAAATGAATGTGTATTGTGTTTGTAAACAGAGCAGTACTGTTTTAACACATCTCCAGCCCCACCTGAGGCCCTTCTAGAGAGGAAGTCTTGAAGCTCTTTACCCTGTCCTTCCTGAGTGCAGCCATGTTCTCTAGGCACCCCCAGGGCAGATGCTGAATGGGGAGAAGGGTGGGAACCTCTTCCCATGGGAATCCCACCATCTGATGCCCCTTTGACCCACCCCCGCATCCTGACCATCCTCTCTGGTCCTCTGCAGAATGAATGATGAAAGCAGGAAACTCTTCTCTGACTTGGGGAGTTCCTACGCAAAACAACTGGGCTTCCGGGACAGCTGGGTCTTCATAGGAACCAAAGGCCTCAGGGGTAAAAGCCCCTTTGAGCAGGTGGGTTCTGGGCCACAACCCGGCCCTATGAAGGATGGACGAGGAGCTGGGTGGTGGTAGGAAGGACAGTCACCCAGTCACCTCCCGAGGGCCTTAAAATTGGGAGGATTATGTGGGGAGAGGCCCTTGGTTGTCATTCACTCCAAAGGACAGGGTGGTCTGATTGGCCAGGAAGCCGCCTTGGCCATTTCACAAAAGCTGGGTCATACATAAATACGCAAGTATACAGGTAAGTACCAGAAAAGGAAGAGGGAAAAGGAGAAAAGGAGGATGATGGGGAAGTGAGACATGAAGGAAGGAGAAAGAAATGGAAATATGAAGCTGTGTGACAGGGAAGGGGAGCCTGGGGAAAGGAGCAGGATGCCTGTCCCCATCCCTTCAGCCTCCCTGGCTGGGCATGGAGAATACAGGGAGGGAAGTGAGAAGGCAGGGAGGAGGCCAATGCCATCATCAGACAAGAGACGCCAGAGCGGGCAGGTGCAGGGAACCATGTGCTGAGCTCTAGGAAGGGCACCACGATTGTGATTTCTTTCTTAAGCTAGAAAATGTGGTCTTGGTCTGTATGCACGTGTTTCTAAGAGGATGTATTCAGGTAACTAGAAATTGTCTGTGAAGAACTCAGGAGGCCGGTGGGCAGGGGCGGGGCGTGGCGTGGTTCCCAAATGTCCTGTGGGGGTGCTGCAGCGGGGCCCTGGCAAGAGGCCTGAGGCTGCCTGGGCAGGTGGTGCTGTTCTGCCCCGAAGCATGGGCTCCAGACCCAGAGGAACCGGCAAGACAGAGGAAGCATGGGAGTACAGGAAGCCCAGCACCAGCTTCACCCACCTGCAACCAGCTGGTTGGGACCTGACGCCCAAAAATGAACCAAGCACCCTGATGGGACTAAGCCCGTCTGTTCTTTGTCCCCACACTTGGGAAACTGGGTTTTAGACAGGTAGCATCTAGAATCTCTTTTTTAATTCCTGAGAGTCAGCCACAATGATTCCAATAGCAGATTTTGCCATTTACATTTTTTTCTTTCTTAAACTAAACCTGAGCATTTTAGACACAATCCTAAGTGATTTTATTCTTCTTACATACTTATTACTAGTATATGTATATTTTTTGAGACAGGGTCTCTCTCTGTCACTCAGGCTGGAGTGCACTGGCACAATCTCGGCTGACTGCAGCCTCGACCTCCTGGGCTCAAGCGATCCTCCCACCTCTGCCTCCTGAGTAGCTGGGACCACAGGCATGTGCCACCACACCCAGCTAATTTTTTTATGTTTTCTGGAGACAGGGTTTCCCATGTTGCCCAGGCTGGTCTTGAACTCCTACCCTCAAGTGACCCTCCTCCCTTACCCTCCCAAAGTACTGGGATGATAGGTGTGAGCCACTGCGCCCCACCCCTTATTATTAGTATTAATTAATATAATGTGGTGGTTTTGCCACTTACCAGCCAGTGACTATGGGCAGTGACCCTCTGGCCTCAGCTTCCCCATCTGTAGAATGGGATGTAAACAGTGCACACTCCTTAGGGCCACCGTGCAGATTAAATACATAAGGCACTGCAGAACAGCACCTGGCACACAGCAAGCGCTCAAGACGAGCTAGGAGTCTTCTTTTTACTGTTGCTATCATTATTGTTATTTGAGGTATCCTAGAGGGACACAGAGAATTTGAGGGGAGGGGCTAGATCTCTCCAACAACTGGTTACCCTTCAGGGCGTGAGAGCAGTAACTGGGCTCTGATCCCATCTCTGAGAACTTGAGCAAGTTGCATCCCCTCTCTGAGCCTCAGTTTCCCCATCTGTGAGTGGGTTAATAACATCCCACACTCCCATTTAGGTTTAGAACACAGTGCCCATGTGGGCATGAGTTCTAAACAGCCTCACTCAATGCCTATAATTTCTCTGTCTTCTCTCTCTCTAGTTCTTAAAGAACAGCCCAGACACAAACAAATATGAGGGATGGCCAGAGCTGCTGGAGATGGAGGGCTGCTTGCCCCCGAAGCCATTTTAGAGTGGCTGTGGCTCTTCCTGAGCCAGGGGCCTGAAGAAGCTCCTGCCTGACTTAGGAGTCGGAGCCCGGCAGGGACTGAGGAGGAGGAGCAGGGGGTGCCGCGTGGAAGTCACTGCCGGTCCTTGCATGCTGTGTCGCACTTTCCCTCCTCGGAAACAGAACCCTCCCACAGGGCATCCCACCCGGGAGACCAGCCACAGTGCATCCCACCCGGGAGACCAGCCTCAGGGGAGACCTTCTGGAACCAGCTGTCTGTGGAGAGAACAGGGTGCTTTCATCAGGGACTGCTGGCAGCCGGTCCTGAGGAAGGACCGACTGCTCTGACTTGAGCCCAATTAAATTTTATTTTTGCTGGTTTTGAATGAACTTTCTGACCACTCCAGTGGCCACGTTTCTCCCTGGGATTGAACTGCTCCAGACTCAGCATGGGCCACGGGTTCAGACAGGTCGGTGACAGCTTCAGGCTCCCCCTTAGGCAGCTGTGAGGGAGCTGTGTTTCTGGGATTTCCCACGGGCCTGAGAGAATCCTCAGTTCCTGCATAACGTGTGGGATGGACGGGAACAGAGGGAGCCGGGGACAGGTCGCAAGGAATACTGTCATCACCCGCTGTCTGGAGTAGAACTGGAGCAAGTCCAGAGCAGGAGAGGGTGAGGAGGGGTGGATCTGAACCCGGCTGGAAGGAGCAGCCAGCCTGTGCTGCTGGCTTCAGGGAAGGCAGCCGGGCTGTCTCTGCCCCAGGAGCGGACCCTGCAACAAGGACGCAAGGGCAGGCAGTATATTTGGGAGGTGATTGTGGGAAATACCAGTAGAGAAGTAGGGAAGTGAGATGGCGAGGGGAAGGAGGAGAAGGCAACCAGTAAAGGGTGTGGTTTCAACCCAGCTACCCCTGTGGGGACTGGAGCTGACTCCCACCCAAAGCTCTAGGAATCAGGGTAAAACACGCACCTTGGAGATACTCCACCCGGGAGTGAGGGAGCTGGGGTATTTACACACCGACTCCCATCAGTGGTTTGTTGAGGGCTTCTGGTGTTGGGGATGATATGAATTCCTAGGTGCTTCTTGTCTGCCCTGCCTAGGGAAGAGTGGCCCTCTGTGGCTTCACAGCAAGCCCCCAGCCAAGAGAGGGCAATGCCAGCTGCTGGCAGGCCACAGGAGAACATTGAAATGGGAAGGCCCAAGGGATACGGTGCCAAGACCTGCCTGAGGTTTCTGAGAAGGGCCCAGTTCCCAGGCTTTAGACTAAGTCTTGAAAGGGGGTTGTGGGGGCAGAAAGCGTTGCTACTCAGCCTCCCGGAGTATGTGCTGGGGACACCACCCTTCATGAAGAAGCAGCTCTCTGCCCAAGCACAGATGCCCACCAGTGGCCTGGGACTCACAGCTCCCAAGACCTGGGGCCTGGGAGCACATCAGATGTGCCAAGATAGCCTGGGGTAGAGACAACAGTGTGTGTGAACCTTCCACCAGGGGCTACAGCAGCTGGGACATGGGCTACAGTTGCAGTGATATCAAAATCAAGGTCCAGGCCAGGTGCAGTGGCTCATGCCTATAATCCCAGCACTTTGGGAGGCCAAGATGGGCAGATCACCTGAGGCCAGGAGTTTAAGACCAGCCTGGCCAACATATAAAAGTTAGCCAGGCATGGTGGCACTCACCTGTAATCCCAGCTACTTGGGAGGCTGAGGCAGGAGAATATTTGAACCGGGGAGGCGGGGGTTGCAGTGAGCTGAGATTGCACCACGGCACTCCAGCCTGGGTGGTAGAGTGAGACTCCATCTCAAAAAAAAAAAAAAAAAAAAAAAATTCAAAGAGCCCTGGGCAGAGCCATGCTCAGGGTTGGCTGAGGAAGCCAGAAGGTGCCCATCCAGACATCCTGTCAATTCCATCACTCCCTGCCCACCCCACCTCAGCTCACCCTCAGGGATGAAAGGGAAGCATGCTGGCAGGCCTGAATACCCACTTCCAACCACACCAGTAGACTACCTGGAAAACATCTTCCCAGAAACCCGCTCTGGGAATGAAGGTGGCAGGAAATTTTCATCATGACCATAAACAACTTTGAGAGCTCGGAAATTTCGCTTTACAACAAGCAAGTGTACCTTATAAAATTTTTAAAGAACGTATAAAGACCTCTAAAGTGAGCTTATGAGCAGGGACAGGGCTAGGCAGAGGGCTCTTGGCAGTGGCCACCATTTTAAGACATGGGGTAGCTGCCTGGTTGAAGAGAAGACACATGGACTTTTCCAGAAAGTGCACCGCGCAACACTTCAAAGAAGACAGAGAATATGTCAGCTGGCTCAATCAGAGAATGCAGGGAAGAGTCCCAGTTCCCCTTTCCCAGATTTTATTGCTAATGGTCAGTCTGAACTCTTCTTTGAAGAACTGCCTTTGGCTACTCATACCTTCTTTGAGCACAAGTGCAAAGAAGACAGACCAGGAAGCTCCTTAGCTAATGACTGGCGGGTGTGGGAATGTGAAAGGCCAGCTTCTGATCCTGGGGCATGACGACCACGAGGTGCGATTTACACTCCAGGATTCCCAGAGGGATCAGGCGGGAACTGGGACTTTGCCTGAAAGTGTCCCTTTGCTTACCTCCTTCCCCTTTCCCATCCTGCTCCTCCACTCCCTTACCAGTGTCCCCAGGGGCCAGTCCTTAACAAATCAATCACCTACATGATGATCCCTATCCCAAGTGGGATCCTGGGGGACCCATCCTAAGAGAGGCGGTGGGCATGGCCAGCTGGATGGGACTGAGCCCCAGCCTGGCCTGGGAGATAAGACCTCCAGGTCTGCAGGAATTGTTGTCATAAAAGGGGTCCGTTTTCAAGGAGAAATTGCTCAGAGTGGGGGAGCTGCACTTGCCACTGCCATGTGGAGCCCATAGAAGAGGCAATGTGCTGTTCCACACCAGGAAACACAAGGCAGAGATTAGGGATTATGCCCTCCTCCAGCCTCCCACTCCTTGACAAGATGTAGGCATCAGGGGATACATCCTCAGATGCCCAGAATAAGCCAGAAGAAAAGCCCAAGTGGCCATCGTTGTACCCCCATAACCCACCAAGGAGACTGCATTCTCGAGCCAGTCATACTAGGCCCCCCTGGGCTGGGTGTCACAAAAGTGGCAAACACCCGTCAGACTCTCAACATCATTTTCAGGATATTGTGGCCACTACAGGGACCCCCAGGTCAGCTCGAGCTGTAGAGAGTTGGATCTTTATTGCCAGAGTCACTTTCATCACTCAGCAAGCAGTTAAGACTCACCTGCTATGCATCAAGAGTCCAGTAGGCTTGGGGCTGCTGCAGTGAAGAAAACCCAGCAGTCAGTGAAGAAAATCCCGCTCAGTCTAGCAAGTGATACAAATCCAGAGACGACATGGCTTGGTAAGGGGGAAGACTACAGGACCCCTGCCCCAGCCTTGGGGGATCCAGGAAGGCAACCTGGAGGAAGCAGCACCCACGCTGAGCCCTCAGCAGTGTGTAGGAGCTCACCAGGCAAAGAAGGGAGGGAAGAGCATGTCAGGCCAGGGAACAGCACAAACAAGGCCTGGAAGGGGCAGAGGGTGGGTGACAGGGCTGAGTGGGAGGTAAGAGCCCAAGGGGACTTGTGAGCTGGGCAGAGGGCTTGGACTTTGTCCCAGGGCAGGGACACATTAGGAGATTTAACCTGGGGGCAAGGTGACGGATCTGCATATTTTGAAAATTCCTTGCTGCTGTGAGAAGGGTGGAGGAAGGGAGGCCAGTGAGGATGTCGCGTCATCCGGGGAGAGAGGGTGGTGGCCTGGACCAGGGGCCTGTCCCAGTGATCATCAGAAAGTGAAATGGATAAGACTTGGGACACATTTTCTCACTGGGGTAGGCAAGCCTTAAGGAATCTCTGCAAGCTAATCGTGACCTCAGAACTGGGGGCTTGGATTTGCCTCCCCACTCCCTGCCAATGTACCTCCCACCCACCCCAGGAGTGAGGATGGAGCTGTGAGGGGTGGGGTCATGGGGAGAGCTTTCCAGAAGCTGTAATTCTGGTCCTCACCGGTAGGTGGCAGCACAAGCTAGAAAGGGAAGGTTGGCAAGGTCTCCCCACACACCCAACCCTTGGGAAAGGCTGTTGTGCCTAATGAACTCGTTATGTGGGACTTCCCAAGGGGCAGTGAACTTATCTTCAGCCTTGCTGATAGTGTAACAACTGCAGCTCCTCACTTCTGCAGAGAATTGCAGTTTTCCAGATGTTCTGCTCAGAGCTTTGCATGAATTACCTCATTTCATCCTCATAGTCCCCTCGTCCGCGGGGTGGGAACCATTGTTATCCTGTTTTACACAGTAGGAAGATGAGGCTCAGAGAGGTCAAGTGACTTGTCCAAAGTCACGTAGATAAGGAGTCTCAGAATAAGGACTGGAATTCCAGTCTGTCTCCAACATTACATGAAACAGATATGTTTGCCCTAAACATACTGTTTACTCTCAGGTAAACAGTGTTTCTCCCATCCTCATTCTCCTCCTCTCTTCCTTCCCCTTTTTTTCCTCCCCCTCTTCCCCTGCTCCTGAATGCCTCTGAAGACTTTTGAAGATTGCACAGAACCTCAGAGTTAGAATTCTCGACCTCTGCCTTCACTGTTTTGGAAGAGATGGAGAGGAAGTGGGTTCAAGGGATTTAGAGCTCCTCTTTTTAAAGCCCAAAGCCCCCCTCACACTTTGTAAGCCTTACTTCCTTCTATAAGGTTGTGGGTCCAGAAGGAGCAGATGTTTACTCTCATTTTTTAGACGGAGAAACAGAGTCTAAGGGATGTGCCCAGCACACGCATTGAGATAGGGCAAAGACGGATCTAGAACACCTGCTCGTTGGTCCTCCACCACCAGCTGTCACTTCATAAATTATCTGTTCACGTATTCCAAGTACATCCTCTGTGCCTGGGCTCTGGGGCCTCCACCCCCATTCCTCCTGCCCATGCCATGTGGCCTGAATGTTGCATTTGGGGTCATTATCCTGCCAGGGGCTGGACTTCAGAGCACAATCACAGGCTCCGTCAACCAGGCTTTCACTGCAGCACTAAGCCACATTTCAGAAGGGCTCCAAGCAGATGGAAAAAATTAATAAATGCGTAAAATTCATTTTCTCTCCTCCCACCCCACCAAGAGTCAAACTGGTGGATAATTATGGGATGGCTGCCAGAGGAATTGGATCTTCAACGCTGACTTACAGCATTTTTACTGCTCCATCTGACAGCCAATTTAGTCATTTCCCTTTACAATTTTGTGGAGTCTCTCCTTTCTGCAGGAAACCCGAAACTGTAATCAGGCCATGACTGGAACAGGGAGAAAAGGAGTGGGGAGCAGCCGAGGAAGGCAGGGGCTGAACCCCAAGGGAAGGGGCAGAAGGAAGAAGCCACATGTTTGCTTGGCTGGAGGGGTCATGGATATTGGAGGAAATACAGTAATAACAACAACAGTATTAAGCAGTGCCATGCAGTGAGCGCTTTCGATGAGCCAGGACTGCGTTAAGCACTCGACCTACTTAGACTATTTCATTTAATCCTCCATCATGGATTCTTCTACTAATATTGCTCTAGACTCGAGGTAAACTGAGGAGCAGGACAGACCAGGCCCTGGCCTTTGTGGAACTGCCATTCCAGGCAGAGGAGACAGACAATAAACACAGAAGTCATATCATTTCAGTTGCAGATGAGTGCTACGACAAAGTAATAAACAGAGAGCCTGGGACCTGCTTTGCAGAAGGCATCAGAGAAAACTTCTCTGAGGAGCCTGAAGGACAAAAAGGATGGAATCATGCAACGCTCAACATATGAGGAATGGAGGGAAAGTGGGGGAGGGAACATTCCACGCAGAAAGAATAGCAAGTGCAAAGGCCCTGAGAAGGGGGGAGAGGTGCTGTGACCCAGAAACTGCCAGGGAGAGGGAGGAGAGGGAAACGAGGTCCTAGCAAGACCGTTGATCAGAACCTGTGGACCATGGGGGATTTCGTTCTGTTGGCAAGGCTGGATCTAGAATGCCTAATTCTTGACCCTCCACCAGCTGCCATTCTGTGAGTCATCTGTGTATGTGCTGCAGGCACCTACTGTGTGCCAGGCATCGTGCTAGAGGAAAGGAAAGGGTGGCAAGTTCTCCCCAACCCACCCGCCTCTTGGGAAAGGGTGTTGTGCTTAGTGAACTGGTTATTCGGGACTTTCCAGTGGGCAGTGGACTTATCATTTGTGTTCTTAGCAGCATGATAGCAGCAGTGCCTAACTTCTCTGAGGAACTGTTGTTTGCCAGATGCTCTGTGCATCCCCACAGCCCCATGCAGTGGGGGCAACTGTTATTCCCACCTTTGGTGAAGTGACAGATAAGACGGAGTGACACGCTCTGATTTATGCTTTCACAAAATGATGGCTTGAGCTGTACACACACACACCTTACCCCATATAGCTCTGTGCAGTGTGAGTGCTTCACACACACACACACACACACACGCATGACATCGTGTCTCCAAGGCCACACAACTCTCGGGGACAGAGCTCCAGTTCAAGCCCAAGGTTTCTTCAGCCTTAACCTCGGCCACAAGCTGGCATCACGGAGAAGGAAGAGGCTGGCAAATGAGGAGGAGGGTGACTGCCGGGGGCACTTTGAGAACTTGGCCCCAGGCCTGAAATCCGGCCTCCAGATATTTTCTTGGCCTGAGCCCAGACCAGCCGCCCTCCAGCCCTCCCAGGCAGCCTGCTGCCCAGTTGAATGAAGGCGTCTGCTCTCAGAGTTTCTGCCGTGGGAGAGCCTCGGACCCCAAGCGTCTTCAAAGGTCTATTATTAATGGGGCCGTCCAGCTGAAGCTGACATCCCCACGCAGCCCTCCCAGAGCTCTGCACCTCAGCCAGCCCATGGCCTCCACTGCCTGGCCCTGTCTGCTGAGCGGTGCCCAGCAAGGCGAGAAGGCCAAGTCCTGCCCGCTGGGCCAGCCAGAGGTCACCCACCACGCCTGAGCTACCGGTGTGTGGTGAGAGGACTGCCCCGCGTCTTCCCTCGGCTCCCAGCTGCCTCAGTTTCCCTTCCTGAGAAAGGCAGGGTTCTGGGAGGTGAGGAGCTGCAGGGACCCACGAAGGGCATGGAAGCCGCCCGGGGACACTGGCCCCTCTGTCAGGATCAATCGCCCTAAGCCTGTCTGAGGCGCTCCAGGCTTAGGAGCAGCTGTGAAAGCCGCCTTTGTGCCTGGGAGAATGAGCCGCAAGAGGACAGGGGGCCCTGGCCCCGGGAGCCCCTTGGGTCCTGGCTCCTGAGATCAACGCCATCAGGGAAGACCCCAGCCTGGCCCCTGCAGCCCACCCAGGCCTGGTGCCCACTTCGTGCCATGGGAGCAGCCCAGGGGAAGAAGGTAGGAACCCCCAAGTGTCCTGTTGGGGCCCTGGACATGGGAAGGGAGACTAGACCTAGCAAGTGGGAGCCCCAACCCACCTACCCTGAAGTTTCATTTGGCACTGCCCACCAGCCCTCCTCCTGGAACTCACAGCCAAAACTTGCATCTAGAAAGCAGGCTGGGGCTCAGGGAAAAACCAGTGCCCTACCTCTCCATCTCTAGGACAGACTTGGGGACAGCCAAATCTCTCTGGCTCCCTGGTCTTAACCACACACATCTCTACTTCCCTGAGTACAAACTCCCTGGGTACCCCTTCCCCATACCTCAGGAGACTGCCTGACACAGGTGGATACAGGGGAAAGATCTTAAAATTGTTATTATTATTATTATTACTATTATTATTATAATAAAGTTGACTAACCAGCTGTTACCAGTTGTAGGGCAATGGGCAAGTTATTTAAGCTTTCTGTACCTTATTTCCTCACCTGTAAAATAGGGCCACTAATAATCACTACCTTGGAAAATCACTGTGAAAATTAAGTGAGTGAAAGTGTTTAGAACACTGCCTGGCACTGTGTAGAGGCTTTGCTCGTTATTATTAGAATTCTGTTCATGTTATTATCCCTCGCCTCCTAAGCCGGAGCTCTCAGCTAGAGGTTTGTAGACAGTACTGCCTGAGCGGTGTTTCTGGAAATGTGCTCTGTGGACCCCTGCATCAGCGTTGTGGTGTGGGGAGTAGGAGGGAGCTTGTGAAACAGTCACTTTCTCAGGGCCGGTCAGACCTCCTGGATCAGCCTCTTAGGGGCAAAGACTGGAGGGGCCTGCACTTACTCACCAGCTCTCGGATTGTCCTACATGCTCACTGCTCTCCGCCCATAGCGACCCAGCACTGCTATCCCAGTGGCATAGCCAGGCTGCCAGGTCCCAGCTCCACCACCCACCTACTGTGGCGATGACCTGACCCCCTCTGGACCTCAGCTTCTTGTTTATAAAAGGGGGCTGGTACCTGCTTCGTGGGAGGTTCAACAAGATGATGCCTTTGAAGTGCTTTGTGCGCTACCCTACGCCCAGAGGCTCCCCAAAAAACAGGGGACTCTGATCCTCTGACAACCAGTGATGACCTGTTCCATCAAGGTTGAGAAACTCAAAGAAGTAATTTCTTAGCCACGGTCATGCAGCTAGTGGGGGAAAGAGCAGGGTGCTGTTGTTGTTGCTGTTGTTAATTTGGAAAGAGGAGCTTTATTTCTCATAAAGAGTTGCAGCCTGCAGGGTGGCCATTCTGACAGGCTGAGAAGCATGGCCTCTGGCCAGAATCCAGAAACTGACACTTTGAGGAAGAGGCAAAGGGAATAGAAATTTATGCTGAGCAGCATGGCCAAATATACATATTCAATAAGCTGTGGGAGGAGTCATGCATATTTATGAAAGGAGAAACATCTGCATGCACAGTTGAGCTTCATGCCTCTTACGGGCCCCAGATACAAAAAACTGTTGGCCTTAGTGTGATCAGAGGGTGGAGTTTTCAGCCCTCTGATGTCAAAGGTGAAGCAGGGGGCACAAAAACCCTTACTGTGCATCCTCTGCAGACTGGTTAGAACCGCTCCATGATCAGTGGTCTCTTATCAAGAAAAAACGCTGGTTGATTTTTGTGTGAAAACCACAAAAGGGAGGCACAGCTGATTGAAATCAGTATGGAGTCTTTTGAAAAGGCCGGTTTCTGTTTAGCTCTTAAGGAAGAAAGTCTAACGGAGGTTATCAAGGGATGGGGCACTACGGGGCGCGTGCAATCTCCCATCCCGTCGTGGACAGAAACTCGGTTTTCAAGATTTCTCTGGGGTCTCCTTGGCCAAGAGGGGGTCCGTTCAGTCACTTGCCGGGTAGGGAGGTGTTTAAAGTTTTATTTTTATTTCTTATTTTTATTGGGTAGGATTTTGACCCCGTTCTGCTTGACTCCAAACAACCCAGCCCGTCCCACCCTTCCTGGTCCATAGCTCTGTCCACGGCATCTTCCTCAGCCCCACCCCAACCTCCCACAGAAGGCTGTTGGTCAGGCAACTGCTGCCCTGTGCCAGGGCCTGTGTGCTGGAGCCAAGGGTGAGGAGACACAGCCCCTGCCCTTGAGGCCATCCCTGTCAGTTGTGGAGACTGATAGGCAGGTAAAAAATAGTTGGGACTGTGTGTGACAGTTGAAGCAGAGGTGACTGGGCACATGACCCCTGGGCCAGGAGTCAAAACACAACGTCGTTGCTTCTATTCCTCCTAGGCAAGGTCTGGACTTCACTTTTAGGTGAAGTCACCTTTGTCCCTTGGGGAATGTCAGGGGCATAGGCTTTGCCTAGAATCCTAAACCCACACTGGCAGGGGATGGAAGGGATCACGTGGTTGGTTAAGGCCAACCAGAGCCCACCCTTGGAGTCGGAGATCTGTCTCCCAATGGCATGACTGCTACTCAATGGAAGGGAGGGTGGGTGCTGGACATTTCATTGTAATGGACTCCCAGGAGGACAGTGTTCTCTCCAGCTGTGGGGTGGGCAGAGAGAGTGGAAGAACGCTGAAAGGGTCGAGGGTGTGACAGATAGACCACTGGGCCAGGAGTCAAAACACAGACATTGTTGCTTCTGTTCTTCTTAGGCAGGGCCTGAACTTCCCTTGGACTTGGCAATTTTTTAAATCTGCCCCTATCAAGGGCACCAAGGTGGGTTCCCTGTCCTCTATCAGGGTTTTTGCAAGAAGGTATTTTAACACACAAAAGCAATCCCTCTAACACTGTTTGGAACGTTCCAGAAACTTCAACATTTGACCCATTGGGCAATTGGGCATGCATTAATACTAGAGAGGTGAGTGCAACCCAGATGTCTGGACGGGAGCCACATTTTAAGCCCTTGCATTGCACAGCAAGGCCACAGGTCCTGGGGCAGCAATGGGTTCAAAAAAAGCACCCTCCATGGGCCTCAGACACCAGCCAGTTCACAGACACCAACAGAATGTGGGCAAGCCATCCTGCACCCCAATCAGCAGCGGCCAGTGCCCTCGCCCAGGATAGAGGACACAACCGCAAGCTTCCAGAGGCTGCCCCTGCACAAGTCCAGTGCCCCAGGCTGCGACCGTAATGCCACCCTTAAAGGGGCTACTAAAAGGAAAATGTTCCTGAGCACAGCTCCCATGCACTGCCACTTCTGCACCAATTAGCTCATTCAATCTTCAAACAATTCTTGGACGTGGAGAGTTTTATCCCCCAGAAATCCACAGACATGGAGAGGTTAAGCAAGAGGCTCAGGGTCACCCAGCTAGTAAGGGTGGAGTTAACATTTGACCCAGGCCGCCCTAAGAGCCTGGCCTCTCAAACAGCAAACCCCACTGCCAGCGCTTCTGAAGGTAGAAACACAACAGTGCTCACGTCCCACCCGGAGCCCCTCTCGGGGTATCTCATTTAACCCCTCTGAGCCTCAGTTTCCTCAGCTGTCAAGCAGCATGATGATTTACCTTCCACAGTAGGCTTGGGCGAGGTGCCCGGCACTCAGTGGGTGCTCAGGGAATGGTACATGGTCCTGTTGCTGCTGCTCTAGAGGTGGCAGGTGGAGCTTCCGCAGGGCGGGAGGCAGCAGCAGAGGGCCCTGGAGGTTCGTACATTTGGCTTACATTCTCTAAAACATTTCTCCAAACCCAACACCACCCAGGTTTTTTGTGGCCCTGAAAGAGTCCTGTCCTCTGACCCTGTTTTTCCCAAGCCACTCATTGCTTTGCATTCGTCTTCATTACGAGAAAGTTGCCTTGACTGAAACAAAAGGGGAAAAAAATAGAAGCACTATGGCTAAATTTGATGAATGGCCTGAAAGGGCGTGTTCATTCTCATGGAGCCCAGACGGCATACATCTGGCTGGGCCCTGCTGGCTCCCTGAACAATTTTCCCCACCGATGATGGATGGGCCTGCCTGGTGCTCAGGGCTGCCCAGCCCAGCAGAGGATTCCAGCTCGTTGCGCCCAGCTCAGTGACGCGTGAGGACCTCATCAGGAGGCCCTCACAGCCCATGCCATCCTATCACCCCGACTCTGCCCACTGCCTCAGACAGCTTCTCTGAGGGGAATGGGGCCTCGCACCTCACTCCTGGGTGCTATGGGAACTCTACAGCTGGGTTCCCATAGGACTTCTGGGCCCACAGTGGGAGGCTCGAGGACAAGAGAAGAAATGTGTCAGGAGCTCATGGGGGTGAGGAAAAAGTACCCCCCCCCCCCAGCAAAGGCAGAGCCCTCGTGCTGCCCAGCAGCCTCCCCACTGGGCCCTGGTGTCCGGGATCATTCCAGCCTCTCCACCTTTGCTCATTCCATTTACCTGCCTGGAACTCCCTCCTGATTTCTATCTACAGCCAACACTTCTGTGCATTCCAGCCCCAGGGCTTGCCCCACCTGCTCTTCTAAGTCTCTGATGGCATGTGAATTGAATTCCAATCGCACTGACAGATATTCTATCCCAAGGTGTCAGGGAAGATGACAGAAAAGAAGAAGAGGAATGTCAATTGTCAAGCTCCAACCCCACCAGCAACCACTATGCTAAATGCTTTTTTGGGGGGGTAATGGGGGGGTACAGAGTCTCACCCTGTCACCCAGATTGGAGTGCAGTGGCACAATCTCAGCTCACTACAACCTCCACCTCCCGGATTCAAGCGATTCTCCTGCCTCAGTCTCCTGAGTAACTGAGATTACAGGTGTGCATCACCACGCCCAGCTAATTTTTTGTATTTTTAGGAGAGATGGGGTTTTATCATGTTGGCCAGGCTGGTCTCGAACTCCTGACCTCAAGTGATCCACCCACCTTGGCCTCCCAAAGTGCTGGGATTACAGGCGTGAGCCCAGGCCTAAATGCTTTTTCATGCTGTCCGGCCAACACGTCCACAGCCCAGCAAAGTAGAGGCTGCTGTACTCACTTCATGGATGGGCACCACTCAAAGCTGCTCTGCCCTTCATGCAATTCCAGTCATTACTTGCCTGGGCCTCAGTGCAATTCCCAAGAGCTCTGCCCC